GGCTGAGGTGCGGGGGGTTCATGCCAAGGCAGGGTGGGGGCTGCTGGGGGCTGGGTAGAGCTCCAGAGGAGGCAGTGGGGGGAACTGCATCCCTGCAGGGTCAAAAAGCAGGGAAGGCTGTGTCTGCTGGCATGGCAGGAGCTGTACTCCTGTGGCACGGGGCTTCTGGTCAGCCATGTTGGCTCCTGGGCATACCAGGAGCTTATTTCGTGGAGTTTTCTGCAGGGTCCAGAAGCGCCTGTGCAGTGGTGCTGCTGTTCTCTCTGTTCCTCAGTCCTTCTCCTTCTTATTTTTCTGTCTTCCTGTCCTGCTCCGCATCCCTCTTTCCTTCTCCATCCCTCTCTGCTCCTTCCTGTCTTTATCGTTGCATCTTGTTGACTCCCTGTTCCTCTTTCCTGCTCCCCATCCCTACTTTTATTTTCCATCTCTTGTCCAGCTGTGCATCTCTGTCCTGTTCCTTCCCTTTTTTCATCTCTTGGTTACTCTGCTCTTCTTTCTGTCCCTATTTTTTCTTCTCTCTATCCCTGTCTACCTATTATTTACTGGTCTATCTTCATCTTGCTCTCTGTCACTGTCTTTCTCTTGCTCCATCTCTCCATTGTTACTCCATCACTCTTGTTCTCTCTGTCCCAGTGTCCTGCTGCCTGTCCTTCTCTTGTTTGCTGAATCCCATTTTCTGGCTCCCTGTCCCTCACTGGTTTTCTATATCTTTCTGACTGTCCTCCTGTCCTTTTCCCCCTCTCCCTGTGTCCTGCTGCCCATTGCTGATTTTTCTTTCTCTTTCTTTGTGTCCTGGTCCTACCACTCTCTTTGTCTGTCCCTGTACTGGTTTTGTCTGGGATGGAGTTAATTTCTTCATAATAGCTTGTATGAGGCTACATTTTGGATTTGTGATGAAAACAGCGTTAATAACACAGGGCTGTGTTAGTTATTGCTGAACAGTGCTTACACAGCATGAAGGCCTTCTCTGTTTCTCATGCTGCCCTGCCAGTGAGTTGGCTGGCGGTGCACAAGAAGTTGGG